TATATATATTTATATTATTAATATATTTATATATGTTTATATATATATATATACACACACACATACATAAAACATTTTTTATTGAAACAAGTTAATTATCGATTGAATTAATTAAAATTTATTTGAGATCGTCTTTAACAAGAGAGTATTTTTTTTCCGTATCTACTTATTAATTTTTCTTGTGAAATTTCATCAAACGATTCAATTCGATGCCGCGAAACGATTCAATATCAGCGATTGTTCATAACCACGTGGCAATCACGTGATTATGATAATTGCAACGTCAAATCGCACAGCAGATTTCGCGTTTCTGCGGAATTGGCAGCAGTCGCTGACGACGGATTTCGAGAAAAATGAGTACCACTGATTGACAGACAGATCATCTATCGACGTGTTAGCGAGTCCGTAATTGGCTTCTCACGAGCGCAATCGCGATTAATTGGAAACGCAAATTTCAGGAAATCACCGATCCTGAATGAATGTGTCAATAAGGATCGATAACCTTATCCGGCCTCTACACGTCTTCGGAAAATACGCTGCCTTGGAATGCGGAAGCATTCTACGGGGCTATAGGCTAACCAGTTCGACCGACAAGCGTAAGCGGATGTTCGCTAATGATCGCTTCTCGAAAATGGGAAAGCTGTCTAGTCCATTTCCCCGAAAGTAAGATGCCGTATTTCAAGGATTACGCGATTTCAAGGAGCGAGAACGTGAGAAGATTCTTTTCAAGTATTTCTTTCCGAATGAAAGAGAAAGAAGAGAACATGATTATTTTATTTCTATGAAAATTAATCCAATTTACAATGCGAGATTCTCAGTATTTCATCATGTCGTCCCTAATGGCTATATTTATATTTCCTTAAATTAAGATAAAATAAATAAATAATTAAATGTTATAAATGCAACAAATAACATATGAGATACCTAAATACTCCTTATTGTAAATTAACAACTTAATGATGATTTTTGACACCCGTACAAATGTCGATGTTTCGATAGAAATATTTTGTGCTGAAATTCTCTCTCAAATTGAATTTATTTCATTATCATTTAAAAGTTTTTTTATTATTTTTCAATAATATCATATTAATTTCCTTTATATATCACAATATTACATTAAATTTCATAAGGAAAATTAAAACTCGTTTTGAAATATGTTCAATTTTTCAATTTTCAGTTTTCATCAATTTTTCAATTTTATAATGTATTTATATCTATCTTTATAAAATTCAATATATCACTATGAAAGGAAAGTTAAAAACTGTTGAAATTTTTGAAATATATATTATGAAATTTACCAAGAATTGCGTATTAATAGAATAATAAAACGAGTTAATTGAGGGCAAATTTTAGCAAAATATTTCAATTGGGTTGACAAAAACATTTCCGCAGTTGTATCAACTATAATTTAAATCCGTGCACACATTGACTCTTGTCATAAATTTAATGACAAATATTTAGTTCTTGAATTAATTTTAAAAAAGAGAAAAGAAAAAGAAGGAGAGGTACAAGATCATTTTTAAACATGCAAATTACATTCCTTCAAAGTTTTTTCAATGCAAGTATTTATTATCTCAGTATATCTCAACAACAATATATATCGATAGTATATTATATACCCTTAGCAACAATATCAGTTTTTTTCTGAGTTTACCTCGGGTTATTCAACGATGATTACTTAAGACAATTAACGGACATGTACAAGAGAAAATTCGATTTACATCTGAAATACAATAAATATACGAAGCTCGTACAAAAAAACTGTTTGATCCAGTTCAATTGATGTATATCGATCAAATACAAATTTTCCGTGCGTGTGTTTTAAAATTTAATTGTTCGATACTGTCTTTACTACTCGAGACGCGATATAACGTTTGTGCAAAATGACAAAACCATATTTCTTTTTTCCTCCCCAACTAGATACTAAATTGTTCACAATTGTCTCGAGAAATAGCCTAGATCGCGTTTAACAGAAAGTGTAAACAAAAATGCGATGTAACTGAAGCTTTGGCAAGAGAGAAGGCAAAACGAGTAGTAAAGACTTTGGAATTCTCGATGAGCGAATTTCGTGTTGGTGAAATAACGATTGACGCGTTATTGCTTTTCTTACAATAGCCTTATAAATTATCAACATTATCTTTTAATCTTCGAAAAACAAATATGTACATTTACACTAAACTTACATCCTATACAATATACAAATTCTTTATATATATAATTATAAAAAATAAACACGATGATTATAAAATGGATACCGAGTGATCCGGTTAAATGCGTTTGCTGCTGCTTATCGCTTACACGAATTTTTCGTTAAGCATACATACACATGTAATGGGTAAAACACACATATATACATACGTATGTATATATGTTACATTCTTTCTTTCTTACACATCAATCCTGAGATCTAAAAATACAATCTAGTTTACTTTTTCATTTCTTTTTCGTCCTTAGTCATTAATACATCATGCCAAACAAACAACATCTGCCATCTCTCACTATTTTACAAGTAAAAAAATATATGCGTCATTCTTTCAAACGTATACTTTCATAAATATCGAAAAAAGATAGGAAGAGTGAAGAAGAAAAACTTCTGTCAAATTTGTCCTACGTCGTAATTTTGCTATACGTGATTCGCCGGTGGAGACACCGCGTTAATTGTGGACGTTAATAATAATCATCGCCCGAACAAAATTATTGATACAATAATTATTATTACAATAATAAATTCTATCATATCGTTTTTTCACTATTCAATCTCAGAACAAAATGGCTGATAAATGCGTTTACTTCTTTGGTTGCATGAGTCCTTAATTTTATACATTATTACTGATATACATATACATTTCATATAAGTGATAATAAATATTTGGGAAAAAGAGGGAAACAAGATATCGACAGAATTTTAAAAATGTTCACGATAATCCGATAGGGACATTATGAGAACAATTGAACAATTATTTCTCTTACAACACAATTTCTCTTATGCGAGATCGTTTTATGCTTTTTATCAACAGGTAACACTTTATAGTCAAGGCCACAGTAATGTCATTATACTAAAAAAGATTCACAAAGAGATG